CAAGAAAGAAAAGAATACATACAAATTGTCATTTAGGGTCTCCCTTTTCCTCATGCTCATAAATGGCTTTTTGTTGCTCCCATGAGGAGGAAACAAAACAAAACATGTGATTTCCTCCTTTATGGTCTTCTAATGTGCGTAATGCTTCTATGGAGCCCAGGTAGCACGCCCAACACCTGACATTCGTGCATTCATATACTTTATTCTCACAAAAGGAGAAACTGTTAACTGTTGCCATTTTTCAAGAGGACAGTGATCTGCCAAATGCCGCCAGATCTGGAGATGGAATCAAACTCAGGTCCAGCCAAGTCCACTGCCCAGCTCTTCATGTGCCCTGCCTCCTGTTAATGACTGGTGTCTCCTAGTCTCCTTTCCACATCTGCCCACAAGCTCCTGAAAGGAGGAGCCTCTAGGGCATATCCCATGTTATGTACTCCTATGCTTTGGTACAGTGACTGGCAGGAGGCACGAAAATTGTTTGAAAAGATAAAATAAGTCAAAATCTCAACTTCATGTCCAAGTTATTCTGAAGCATGGCAGAATGTACTTACTTCTCCCTCTTGGTTAGGTTTTTGACTACCACAGCAGATCCATATGCTCTTAGAACAGGGTGGTGGGGAAGGAAGTTAGACAGTGAGATGTCTGGACTAGTTGACTTTACACCAAGCTTCTTAAATGTATTGTTTAAAGCCATCTACACACACAGGATGGTTCACTCTGTGTTTCTACAGAAGAATCCCCCTTATCGCTAAGTGGAGAAATTTTCAAACCTCATGGTAGTCCTTGCTTTAGAATGCTGGGGACAAACCTGTGAGAAAACCTGGCCTGGTGGAGCCACATGTTTATAGAAAAGCAAAGCCAAGAACATTTCAGGTGTGGAGCCCTGGTGAAAAGACTGCTCTGGGTATTTGCATGTTTTTATGTGACACTATCAAGTCTGAAGGCCGTGCAATGTTCTTGCATGCTCTCACCAGGTGTTTTTCAATGAAGCACTAAATTCCCCCTGGTTGATTCCAAGAGGAAACCTTCAGGTACATTTAATGCAGAAGATTAAGACTGCATTAAGATTAAGTCTAAAATGTTCTGCTACCAATTAGCCCTCTAGTATTTCTGTAAGCCTTGAATTTTTGATGCGATCAATGACACCAGTGGAGCCATCTTCTGTGGAGTGGTTATTAAAGATATAAAAATCAATACAAAGATGATACTTGGAAATCTATATCACAAGATAATGAATCACCATGAGAACATAGAAGAATGTCAGCAAACCAAACAGAAGGTTTGTACATAATAAAGTATTTCATGCCAGTAGAATTCAAGCTAAATTTTGCATGAGACAGAAATATACATGCTACACTTATGATACATCTGCATGACAAGGTTTAATAAGATTATGACACAAGATCAACCAGGCAAAGGATTCCTAGTGCTTTAAGAAAAAAAAATGTAAAAAAAGAGAAAGATTGAGATGTTCAAGACTGAGCCAATAATGCCATGATTTAACTTTAACTAATGACAAAATAGCATCAAAACTTTCTCTGTCGGTAATCCTCATTCAATTTCTTTTAAATGAAACATTATTTGCTTGCACCTTAAGTCCGTAAGTACTGATTGTTATTGGAGCTGTGTATTGGAGCTTCACAGAATAGTTCAAATTTAATTTGAACTGGGGATTGATTTCGTTTCCTTCAAAGGAAATTTTTTTTTCCCTCCAAATTGAGCTGGTGCATGACTTTGCAAGTTCATTTTGGTTTCCTTCTTGACACAACTGTAAGTGACATGAGAACATTTATGTGTTTTGTTCTTAAGGGACATCACAATGTTGCTAATGATGCCAAAAAATGACTAGGACTTACTTTGTAACTTTAGAGATATGGATTCCTTATAATTCCTTATCATTTGCTGTCAAGAAAAGCCAAAATAAGCAGTCTGCTACAGTCTCCAGTCCACTAAACCTTTGTATATTTAATAGACATACAGTTTTATGCTGGAGATTTCCCAAATTATAATTACATAAATAAAATTTTATAGACAGGGATTAAGAGAGGATGTGTTTTTGTGTATGTTGGGTGATGCAAAAGTCATAAATGTTTCTATTTCAGTCTTCCTCTAGGCACATCCATGAGTCCCCCATTGGAACGCTAAGTGACTGATGCTATGGGGGCACATGCTCATAATCACTGCACATTAAGCCCTTAACAGCAAAGTCTGGCTCTTCATTAATCTGTAAATGCACTGATTTACTGAGAGATACCTTTGCTTTTCTTGGAGTTTTTCATCTACGTCTCACCCTGGTGCCAACACAAATTCCAGAAAATGAAACAATAAGTTTATGCTATTGCATATTAAGTTTGGTTTCCTCTGTATTTTCATTGCATGTTTCAGAGGTTGACTTAATCAGCTGTGAATTGTTATGGAGTCAGTCGGGCTGGAATTCCCACAGAATTTTTTTTCTTCCCGTGTATCATATAACAATAAGAGAGCTAGACACACCTTGTGTAGTTTTAACAAGTCTTTGCAGTTTTGACTTAATTTGCTTCCCTCCCCTTTACCCCCTGAGGCTCCCAAAGCAAATGAACCATTCAGTAGCATAAAACAAGGGGAATTAGTTTAGACTTCAATAAAACACAGACCTCTTGCTCACAATATCTGCCTTGATGCAGAATGTCTGCAGTTTAAAATATTGCCGTATCTTGATTGTCCTGACACCTCATGGTTTTTCTCTTGAACCCCCATCGCCTGGGGAACCTCAACACTCTCGCTGCTGTTCAGTTCTCATGCTCTGCCTCAACGGTGCTCCTATATTAGCCCCTTTATTTTCATCTGTGAAATCTACACTACAGACGCATGAACGTATGTAGCGGTTTTCCAATAGTTCTAGAATCTGGGTTTAATTGTGCAGTCTCAATATCTCTTTGAAGTAGTGTGAAAAGGAAATGAGGTACAGGAATGCTATTCTCATGGGCCGGAGAGTCATAGGTAACATTTAAAGAAATATCTTCGTAGAGTGAAATGTTTTTGCCTCTTATTCGAACCATGAAAACCTTCAGCTTTCACAGGTCTGTCCTCCTACTTCGTTAGGGATAGATTTCTATGCCTTGAAAGATTTAATTTATTTATTTACTTATTTACAAATAAGTAATGATGCTAGCCTATGTGCTAGCATAGGGGAAGTTAGAGAGATGTTCAGCAGGTCAGTGCAACACTGTTTCTCCTGTGGCTGATGCTGTGGTGTAGTGGGCTAAGCCTCTGCCTGCAGCGCCAGTTTGAGTCCCATCTGTCCTTCTTTCGATCTCTCTGCTATGGCCTGGAAAAGCAATAGAAGATGGTCCAGGTGCTTGGGCCCTGCACCCACGTGGGAGACCCAAAAGAACTCCTGGCTTCAGATCTGCCCAGCTCCAGCTGTTGTGGCCATTTGGTGAGTGAATCAGCAGATTAAAGATCTCTCTGTCTCTGTCTCTGTCTGTCTCTCTCTCTGTTACTCTACCACCTCTCGAATACATAAATAAAAAGAGTTTCTCTGGCAAAGGTCACATTTTAATTTCTACTTGAGGAAATATTGGTATTTTAAAAGTTTTGATTAGTGGGATGGGTATTTTTTGATGACTTGTTAAACTTTTATTTAATAAATATAAATTTCCAAAGTACAACTTTTGGATTACAGTGGCTTTTTTCCCCCATAACCTCCCTCCCACCTGCAACTCTCCCATCTCCCGCTTCCTCTCCCATCCCATTCACATCAAGATTCATTTTCAATTATCTTTATATATAGAAGATCAATTGAGTATCTACTAAATAAAGATTTCAATAGTTTGCACCCACACAGAAACACAAAGTATAAAGTACTGTTTGAGTACTAATTATACCGTTAATTCACATAGTACAACACATTAAGGACAGAGGTCCTATATGGGGAGTAAGTGCACAGTGACTCCTGTTGTTGATTTAACAATTGACACTGTTCTTTATGACATCAGTAATCACTTGAGGCTCTTGTCATGAGTTGCCAAGGCTATGGAAGCCTTTTGAGTTCACCAACTCTGATCTTATTTAGACAAGGTCTTAGTCAAAGTGGAAGTTTTCTCCTCCCTTCAGAGAAAGGTACCTCCTTCTTTGATGGCCTGTTCTTTCCACTTGGATCTCACTTGCAGAGATCTTTCATTTAGGTGGGTTTTTTTTTGTTTTGTTTTGTTTTTGTTTTTGCCACAGTGTCTTGGCTTTCCATGCCTGAAATACTCTCATGGGTTTTTTAGCCAGATCCGAATGCCCTAAGGGATGATTCTGAGGCCAATGTGCTGTTTATGACATCTGCCATTCTGAGTCTGCTGTGTATCCCACTTCCCATGTTGGATTGTTCTCTCCTTTTTAATTCTATCAGTTAGTATTAGCAGACACTAGTCTTGTTTATGTGGTCCCTTTGACTCTTAATCCTATCATTATGATCAACTGTGAACTGAAACTGATCACTTTGACTACTGAGATGGCATTGGTACATGCCACCTTGATGGGATTGAATTGGAATCCCTTGGCACGTTTCTAACTCTACAGTTTGAGGCAAGTCCAATTGAGCATGTCCCAGACTGTACATCTCCTCCCTCTCTTGTTCCCACTCTTATATTTAACAGAGATTACTTTCCAGTTAAATTTAAACACCTAAGAATAATTGTGTGTTAATTACAGAGTTCAACCAATAGTATTAAGTAGAACAAAAAATATACTAAAAGGGATAAAGTATTAAGTTGTTCCTCAACAGTCAGGACAAGGGCTAATCAAGTCATTGTTTCTCATAGTGTCCATTTCATTTCAACAGGTTTCTTTTTAGGTGCACAGTTAGTTGTCACAGATCAGGGAGAACATATGATATTTGTCCCTTTGGGACTGGCTTATTTCACTCAGCATGATGCTTTCTAGATTCCTCCATTTTGTTGCAAATGATCAGATTTCTTTTTTTTTTTTTTTTTTTTTTTTTGCTGCTGTATGGTATTCTATAGAGTACATGCCCCATCATTTCTTTATCCAGTCTACTGTTGATGGGCATTTGGGTTGATTCCAGGTCTTAGCTATTGTGAATTGAGCTGCAATAACCATTGAAGTGCAGACAGCTTTTTTGTTTGTCAATTTAATTTCCTTTGGGTAAATTCCAAGGAGTGGGATGGCTGCGTTGTATGGTAGGGTTATATTCAGGTTTCTGAGGAATCTCCAAACTGACTTCCATAGTGGCTTTATCAGTTTGCATTCCCACCAACAGTGGGTCAGTGTCCCTTTTTCCAGTGGGGTGGGTATTGTGGTATGATAGGTTAAGCTGCTGCTTGAGATGCCCACATCCCATATTGGAGTGCTGGCTCGAGTCCTGGATTCTGTGTTGCTGATCCAGCATCCTGCTAATGTGCCTGGAAAGGCAGAAGGTGTCCCAAGTAGTTTGGTTCTTGCCACCCACAAAAAAGACCTGGGTAGAGTTCCTAGCTCCTGGCTTCAGTCTGGACCAGTCCAAGCTGTTATGGCCGTTTGTGGAATGAACCAGTGGATGGAAGATCTCTGCGTGTGTGTGTCACTCTACCTTTCAGATGAGTAAGTAAATCTTTTTTAAAATTGAGAAATAGAAGCTTGAATATCGAATGAATCCAAACTGGATAAATATCTAAACATTGGTGGAATATTCAAAAGGTATTTTATTTATTTATTTAAGATTATTATTTATTTGAAAGTCAGAGTTACACAGAGAGAGGAGAAGCAGAGAAAGAGAGAGGTCTTCCATCTGATGGTTCATTCCCCAATTGGCCACCAATGGCTGGAGCTGTGCCAATCCAAAGCCAGAATCCAGGAGCTTCTTCCAAGTCTCCCACATGGGTACAGGGGCCCAAGGACTTGGGCCATCTTCTAATGCTTTCCCAGGCCATAGTAAAGAGCTGGATCGGAATTGGAGCAGCCAGGTCTCAAACCGGCTCCCATATGGGATGCTGGCACTTCAGGCCAGGGCATTAACCCTCTATGCCATAGTGCCGACCCCTCAAACTGTATTTTAAATAGGTGGAAAAACTGAGATATATAACAATTTTCTAAGAGTAAAGTGCTGTATTTTGGGTTAACTGATGAAAATTTGAATTCAAAAATTAGGCAGGTAAGTCACATGGAGAATTTTAAATTTTTAGACAATTTATGTTCACCAGATTAAAAACTGATGCATTCTTGATAAATAAGGATGAGGAAGGAGAGGATGGCATAGATACTCAGAAGTTAAAAGCTGAACAAGAATTTGTCATCTTTCACACAGTTAACATGGGCCCACCCAGAGGAGTAAGAACCCACAAGAAGGCATTTACAACCTTATCTGAACATAAAATAGTTTTATAGAACTACAATTTAATTTAGAAGTCAAGAAGACAGATATATTATTTTATAATTCATGTCTTATTCCGTCACCTAATACTGATATATTTTTTAGCTTCTGTGAAATAAGAGTTGTTTAATTAACAGAAAAGTACCACATTATGGAGAAATAAAGAATTACTCAGGAGTTGCACATTAAGACCTTATAGGTGTGATATATTTGTAAACAATCTCATAAATATGACTACTTCCGGGTATTAATGAATCGATGGTTTCCCAGGCTTTTTAACTGTCAAATCTCTTTCCTACAAATTCTTGGTTCTTACGAATCCAGCGAACTGGGTGAAACCAAATCTTAGAGAATCTAATTTTAAGAGAAAGAAAGCAGGATAAAAATATATTAAGGCAGAGAGAGTATAAGTTAAAACAGAACAAAAATGTGTTGATAATAAGAACTGGACTAGAAAGAAATACAACAAAATGTTAATGATACTTTTCTTTGGGTGTCGACATAAATAATGGCTTTTACTTTCCCACTTGTGTGTTTTGATATTTACAAATTTTCTGTAATAGTGTTTCTACTATAACCAGAAAAAAAAAATAGATCAATGAAATGTGCAGTCTAAGGGTTGAAATTCCTGCTGTATACAAAGTGAACACATTTTACCACAGGTAATGCCCTTGGCTATTGAGGAAGGATGATTTCCATAGAAGGACTATAGTATTTTATATCTAATTAATGGGGAAGGCTTTGGGCAAAATCAGAACTTTAGATCCTGGAAGCTGAGTACAGTGAGGATTTAAGAGGCACAAGGAAGAAAAGGCAAAATCAATGGGAGCTCCTCAAGACAGTGAGAGCGTGTTTTAGTGAGTGTGTAAGAACATGAGGAGCTGGCGCCACGGCTCAATAGGCTAATCCTCTGCCTTGTGGCGCCGGCACACCGGGTTCTAGTCCCAGTCGGGGCGCCGGATTCTGTCCCGGTTGCCCCTCTTCCAGGCCAGCTCTCTGCTGTGGCCAGGGAGTGCAGTGGAGGATGGCCCAAGTGCTTGGGCCCTGCACCGCATGGGAGACCAGGAGAAGCACCTGGCTCCTGCCATCGGATCAGCGTGGTGCGCCAGCCGCAGTGCGCCGGCAACAGCGGCCATTGGAGGGTGAACCAACGGCAAAGGAAGACCTTTCTCTCTCTCTCACTGTCCACTCTGCCTGTCAAAAAAAAAAAAAAAAAAAAAAAAAAAAAAAAAGAACACGAGGAAAGTGAAAACAAGGCAACGCGGGCCTTAATGAAAGTGAATAATAAATGAGATGGAATTAGGAAGTAAACTGGTCTTGAATGTAAAAGTAGAGACATGAACAGGATTCTGTATATTGATGTCAAAATCCAGACATTCCATTGGGAAATAAGGTTATGGAATGTGCTGTATCAACCTAACTTAGAGTCAGACTGATTCCTACTTTGGGGGTGCGCTAAGTCATTAGCTTTGGGTCTGTGTTATTAACACTACAGCTTTTCCTTTACTTCCAAGCAAAAGCACATACAATGCTTTTACTCTTCATAATTCACTTGCTTACTCAAATATTCATTGATTTTTCTGAATCTGTGGCCCATTTGCTTGCAAAATATTCATTGACTTCATGGGACTAAATAATAAGTATTGGTTGATGTTAATGTACATACATGCAATAAAACTGTCAACTCAGTCATCTTCCTGGTACCTGAGTATATAACAAAAGCATTCATTAGACAGGGAGGCAGCACTGTCTGACAGGGTGCATGTAAAGGAAAAGAGGAGTTTTCTTTTTTTTTTAAACCTCAGAGAGATCTGGGTTCAAATCCTGGTTCTGTCACTTGCTATTTGTTAAATCTGATCATAGTAAGTTTCTGAACTTTATTTCTTTATCCTTAAACCGGAGATAATATCTTAATTCTAATATACATTTTATGAGAATTAAATAAGACATACATAAATTAAAGCATATAATAGAGGAGCAGGCATACAACATCCTCTGAAGAACGGTAGGTCTTATTGTTGTCAGCATACAGTTCAATTTCACAACACAATGCAACTGGAAGTTTCAAGATCAGTACAGGGGCTGGCACTGTGATGCAGTAGGTAAAGCCGTCGCCTGCAGTGCAGGCATTCCATATGGGTGCCAGTTGGAGACCCGGCTGCTCGACTTCTGATCCAGCTCTCTGCTATGGCCTGGGAAAGCAGTAGAAGACGGCTCAAATCCTTGGGTCCCTGCACCCACGTGGGAGACCCGGAAGAAGTGTCTGGCTTTGGATCAGCGCAGCTCCAAACACTGTAGTCATTTGGAGCGTGAACCAGCAAATGGAAGATCTCTCTCTGCCTCTGCCTTTCTGTAACTCTGCCTTTCAAATCAATAAATAAATCTTTACAAAAAATCAGTATAAAACTCTAACTTTCTTTACATGAGTCAAATTTTAGATTTTAATATGAAAATAATCTCATTTTTTCCTTAGGTCAATTCACAGAGCTTTAAGGGTGCTGGAAGCAGCTTTCTCAGCTGCTTCATAGTGGGGCTCATCATAAGCCCGAAGAGATCGGCTGATGGACCAGCAGGTAGAACTAAGGTAACTGAGACCTTAGTGGGAGAATTCTGCTGGGTGAGCTTCAGAGACTGTTTCAGAGAGATGACGTTACTCAGTGAGTTTTGTTCATGAGATCAAAGGTTGGATCTTTATTTATTTTTCTAGTCTTTCTGGTACTTATTATTTTAAAGGAACTTACTAATACATCATTAGATTCTCAGGGTTACAGCAAATACATGATAATTATTACAACACAATTCTCATGTTAATGTGATATTAATACAAAGAGAACAGATTCCATGTATTTCATAGACACAATTCTTAGAATGATACTTCCCCTCCTCCTTCTTTTTCTTTTTTCTTTTTTTTTAGGTTTTGAGGTAACATTTTTAATTTATAGTCAAAGGGTTAATGCTCCACTAAAGTAAAAAGTAAAAAGAACCTAATTCACTGGGAATATAGGCAAAATCTATAAACAATAATCAAATGAAAAAATGTCTAATTCACCCAAATAGAGTAAACTTTAAAATAATCACAGATCATTAAAACTATGGTGGTATATCATTCTTAACCACTGGTTTGACAACAATATAAAACAAAGTTTCACAGAACTATATTTGCAGTGGTATTGTTACACATAGGCATTTTTCTTTTTTGTTTTTTAATTTTAGCTCTCACATATAAGGGATGACATGTTGTACTTGTCTGTGTTCACTTATTTCACTCAATGTGATGTCCTCCAGTTGCATTTATTTGATGCAAATGGTAGAATTTTATTCTTGCTTATAGCTGAATAATATCCTATTGTGTGTATACACACACATATGCATACACACACACACATACCACATTTTCTTTATCCATTCAATTGATGATGCACACCTTGGTTGATTCCATATTTTAGCTATTGTGAACAGTGCTGCTAAAAACATGGTGGTGCAGGTATCTCTTTGATACAATGTATTCATGTCTTTTTGGTATATACCCAGTAGTGAGATTGCTAGATCATATGACAAGTTTATTTCAAGTTTTTAAAGAATTCTTCATACTGTTTTCCACAGTGGCTGTACTAATTCACATTTCTACCAACAGAGTATAAGAATTCCCCTTTCCACATTCTCACCAGCATTTGTTGCTCTCTGTCTTGGATAATAGCCATTCCAACAAGTTGGATCTTAGAGGCTGCAACTCAGCTGTAGTACTTGCAGTTCTCTCTGGAGGAAATGAATACTTTCCACCCATTTTGCAGTTTTTAGTGTTGGATCCTATGGCAGGGAGTTGGAGGTGGGTGTGGTCATCTCAGACTCCAGCTGAGTTGGATAGTTTGTAGAGACATTGGTGGGTTCACAGGTAATGGAAGAGTGAAGGACTTGCTTTCTGGGATTTACCTAGCTTTACATTCAATTATTCAGCCCCTTCAACTATTCCTTGCTTTTGGCGACCAAACCATTCCTTACAAAGATCCTGGATATGGGCCAGCACTCTGGTTTAGCAGGTTAAAACTCTGGGCACTGCTTGAATCCCAGCTGCTCCACTTCCCATCCAGCTCCCTGCTAATGCACCTGCAAAAGCAGTGGAGAATGGCCCTGGTCCTTGGGCCCCGGTATCGACGTGGGAGACCCTGAAAAAGCTCCAGGCTCGTGGCCTTAGATCGGCTCAGCTTTGGCTGTTGCGGCCATTTGAGAAGCAAGCCAGCAGATGGAAGCCCCTCTTTTTCTGATTCTACTTCTCTCTGTAACTCTCTTTCAAATAAATAAACATTTAAAAAACAACAACAAAGACCCTGGATAATATAATTCTACAACTTATTTGGCCCAAAAAACCACTATGTATCCAAACTCTCTTTACTATCAAAAGTATATCTTGGGTCCCATTTCTTCATCCCAACTCCTATGAAATTCATAATGTATTATCCTGAGATGAGCATATACATATTTTTTTTCTGGTGTTAATATTTATTTTGTATTGATTTTACTTCTATAAACAAAATAAAGAAAGCAGAGGCCATGCTTTGAACTCTTTTTATACTTCTTAATTGTGGAAAAGTTTTGGCATAACTCCCTCTCACTTCCAGTAAATTGAGTTAGGTGAATTAAAAAAAAAAGGGTCCCCAAATTTCTGGTGAGTGAGACTAAAAGGTAAATTTAGCTCATGCTTTTATGTGACTTAGAAATTTTCAGTTGGCTGGCGCTATGGCTCACTTGGCTAATCCTCTGCCTGCGGTGCTGGTACCCGGGGTTCTAGTTCCGGTTGAACCGCCGGGTACTGGTCCCGGTTGCTCCTCTTCCAGTCCAGCTCTCTGCTGTGGCCCGGGAGGGTAATGGAGGATGGTCCAAGTGCTTGGGTCCCTGCACCCTCATGGGAGACTGGGAGGAAGTACGCGGCTCCTGGCTTCGGATCAGTACAGCGCAGGCCATAGCGGCCATTAGGGGAGTAAACCAATGGAAGGAAGACCTTTCTTCTGTCTCTCTCTCTCTGTCTATAACTCTCTCTCTCTCTCTGTTTCTCTCTCTCACTGTCTAACTCTGCCTAGCAAAAAATAAAAAAATTTTTTTTTCAGTGACTATGCAGATGATCCGTTTTAAACTGACCCTTCCATTCTTAAGATGCTGGGCGGAGTTGGGTGGGAGGAGAAGGTGGGTGAGTCTAAGGAAAGATAGATGGCAGAATGTGCATCTGATGAATGTTATAAGCAGCTGAATATTTTTGTTGCTTTGAAGTTTTCCCTAAAAAATCAACCTTCAACCTTGAAGTCCGTTTATTCATTTCTTCAAATTTGATCTCAAAAATTTTAATCAGATAGATGCTAATTACTCAAGATCACTCAGAAAGTTAGAAGCAGATTTGGGACTAGCGCCCAAAAATGTTATCCTTGCCATGTATTTTTAACAATGACATTTTCCTGCAATGCTGGTCATGGGAAATAGACACTATCCACTCCTGTTTCTTACATTACCATAGCAATCTAAGTTTATTATAGCATAAAGACCCCAGAAAACTAATGCTAACATATTTTAACATAAAACAATTTAGAATCTCTGAAATATTATACTAAAGCATTGTGTTAATATCTAATGTTTTCCTTTTCATAGTAATTAGTACTTGCCTTGTTTTCAATAAATTGTATGTTTTTAAGATCTACAAATTTATTATCTACTATAGTTTGAAAGAAGGAAAATGAAAGAAATATTCACATAAGAATCATGATGTCAGAGATGGAATCATTGAGATGAGAAACATTTTCTTTAAATAATCTATTAACAACTGTTCTCAGAAGAGATCATCAGTTCTGTTTCACCAACTTTCACCCTTTTAAATGATTTTAACAGTAAATATTACTGTTGACTAATATCACATAAATATTATAATAGCATGGTTAATACAACAATGATCTTAACTTTGGTTATGTCTTATTTTTCATGTTAATTAATAGTATTTAATGGCTCAGTAGATTACTTGTGTAAATCTTATAATCCCACTTAGCATTTGGGTTATTAAAGTAAAAATATAGCTATAATAAATAATAGCACTTTCAATTAATACCTGAACAAAATAAATGATATCTCACTTATGCTAAAATATCAGTTTCACATATTTTTATCTTTAGTAGTATCTTTGGAAAAAAGATAGTGATATATCACTATGTAAATGTATAAAGGCTAGCTACTATTTGGAGAGGGAAGAACTAGGTCAGAGAGTAGTTAATAGCTAGTTTTGGATTGACCCCATGTGTTCCAACATTCTCTACAGCACACCCTGGTGTTACTTCCTTTTCTCTGATCTGCTGCTACCTTCAGTTCTGAAAGAAAATAGGGGGAGGATCGAATTGAGAAATGTGATTTTGCTCATGGCTGGGATGGGGGTGACATCCAATGATTAGTTTTCTGACCAGTTAGCTCCATGGTTAGGCTTCTTAGAAGAGAAGGATGAATGTGAGTGGAAACACGGACCATTAGCCAGCATATTGGAGAGAAGAAGTCATCAGCCATAGACAGGCTCGTTAACGCTCTAGTTGTGATAATAATCACAAATTTGTGCTTTGGAAGGATTGTGTGCCTTGACCCCCCAAAAGGTGTTTTGCTTTGTGAATTCCTTTTCATGTGCTTCCTAAAACTCTACTTGCCAATGAATGTGCATTTCTGAGATGTTGAGGAGCCTTCTAGCGATTCTTCCACTCTGCCATGTGTTACACTGGCAGGCACCCACTTCCAGGTCATCTGATACGTGGCACTACCTAGCGCTAGCCGGAAATGCATTCAAAGGGCAGTAGCATGCCAGTGATTTTCTTTCCTTGCATATACATGAAGGGATAATATATCTCCTTTAGAAGAAAGGCTGCCAAAGGAGAACCGAGAGTTTGATTCCCTTAGTAATTCCCACAAGCAGCAAGTTCTTGGACTACAGAACTGAGAAACAAACCAAGTGCAGAGGGAGAATGGCAGCATTTCAGTCCCTCAGTGAAGTTAGTGCTTACTACAGGACAGGCAGTATTTAACTGCCTTACTTCTACTAATTTGTTTCTACTGTGCCATTGCTCTTGGAAGCAAGCAGTGTTATTTCTCCCACTTTATAGATGGGAAATTTGAGGCCCACAGTCACAGAGCCGATAAATAGCACATCCACAGTTTGAATTTATGTGGGCTCTGGATCTTAGGCTTTTAATCATTTTGCTATCAGTGGAATGAAAAAGATCCTCTACAATACAGAGTTGATTGCTTAATACAGAGTTGATCACTTCCAGGATTATACAAGTAGTTAATCAGGAAAGTAAACTATGACCATGACAGAGACAGACACATGCCACTATCCTCTATAAATTTCTTTATCGCATAGCTTCTCATCTAATACCACTTATCGTAGAGACAGTTGTGCTAGGCTGCTTTGTGCTCTACTTCCATGAAGAAATGCATCCTAACAATATCTGGATTCCTTTACGAAAACAACAGTTCTACTTGATCTCAACTTGATGATATGATGTGTGAAGACCAGGTATACTCCAGAGCACGAGCTTACTAGACTCACAACAATACTTCAGTCAGAAACTTAGGGAGGCATCCAGTCTAAGGCAACAAGCAACAGAGAACCTGATTTGGGAAGACAGGTGACCCACACATG